ATCGTTTAAGGAGGTAGAAAAACAGGTGTGCTGTAGATGGACCCCACAACGGTTCAAACGGTCGAGATGGAAATAAAAAGTGAGGCTCCCGAGTTTTACCACTCCGGCATATTTCTGTTTTCCCTCAGGCTTTTGGGCATGAGAAACGGCCACCAACGCCTGGGAAGAAAAAAAAAACTGTGTTGTCATGGTAATGGCTTCCTTATGTTCTCACACAGCATCCAAGCATTACCCACTAGAGACTCTCGGGTAAAAACAAGTGGTAGCCAACTCCCTTCCACTCTGTTGTGCATGTACCCACTTTGACCCCCCCTCCCTCATGTTTACTTATTATGAGATATTTTCATTCAGCACAAAATCACTGAGGAATGTCCATCGTGCAGGCCATTAAGTATTTGTAACACCTCACTGTAAGTCCCACTCTTTAGCAGTAAATCAACATTATAATGTAGTTCTATGTGGATGTAAGTGACTCTGACCCCTCCTGTGGACACCCAGAAGGCAAGGTAGGAGGTATTCTGGGAAATGTTGGAAAGAAGAAAAAGTAAGTTGTTGCCCTGTTCAGGCCCCCCCACCACAAAAAAAGCCTGTGAATCCAGAGCAACACACACATCCCTGGAGAACGAGTGACATCAAGTGGCCATCTGTTGGTACTGCAACAAAGACAGGGAACTAAGCAACAGTATAAACAGAGGTGACGGAAAGCGTTGGTGCCCTCCACCTCAATGAAACTGTTCTTCCTAAAAAGTAGTGAAATTAAAAGCGATTAGTCAAGCATACCTGCAGCCTAGTTTGAGCCAGTTTACATACTGTTGGTGGCTTAATCTATGGTGATAAATTATATATTTACTGATTATATTTAAATTAATAATATGAATTGGCAAGTAGTGACAACCCTTTCAAAACAAATGTAAACATAACGTTTTCCTCTCAAATACAGTGGAGTAGAAATATAACACATCATTGAATGTACTCAAGCAAAGTACCTATTACAAGTACAGTAGAAAAGTACTTCATGCTATGTGACAGAACCATGGACAGGTTAGTTTTACCTTGAGACTTTGCAATAAAATCCACAACAAGTGAAAAATAGAAACCCTGGTAATAATCTCAGTGTCATGTTTGTTCTTTAATCTTCAACGTTATCACACAGACCGACACGTTTCAACATAAAAGTATTCCAGTTCTTCACAGTATTGCATTTTGCACAGTGTTATACAGACTACAGAGTTTTTCAGTGAAGGCACAAAACTAGAGGTTACTTCTGCAAATGAAATCCCTACAGACAAACACGGTGAACTCAGAGATATTCAACTTGGCCGCTAAAACAGTTTTAGCACAAAAAAAACAAAAAACTAGCTGCATCTCTACCGACTCACGGTAAGAAAGGTAGTAGTGTCACGATCAAACTAACAGCTCCAGTCAGAATAATTGTTGGGTAATGTTTCCACCCTCTGCTCAAGCTTTGCTTTCTGTTTCACAGCTCTTTCACTTTGCCCCAAAGCATTTCACAACACAGAAGTAATTTGATTCATTCTCCAGACTTTTCCAAACCCTGCTGATTGTCCAGGATACAACGTTCCCATCATACGAACTCCAACAAGCTGAACACTCTCGGTTGGTTTAGTGCAACTCTCCTTTAAATATCATTAAAATAGACCTCACTCTGCTACAAAAGTACACATAGTAGAACAACATGACAGTATTTTGTAAGTACTTTGTTTTGCGACATTTGAAGCATGCAGTCACAGTAACACAACAGCTACATATGTTGTAGTAGGGCTGCCTTCTGCATCTTCCACCACCTTCCAGTGACTGAACACCAGAAACACACAACAGGAAGCAGGTGACCAGAGACAAAGCTGAAGCACTGCACACACTCATCAAGTGCTAGGCTGCTGTTTGCATGAAACAATGGACACTTCAGTGACATTTAGAGCTTTGATTCGTCCACAGCGTCCAGGCCACTTGAATAGGGACAGTGTGCTCGGTGGACCTGCTCACAGAGGTGAAGTGACAACACGTACAGGCTTCACAGAATCACCAGTGCCGTAGTCATGTCACTAAACCTCAAGTGCGAGTCACCAAAGAACAGTCCGAGTCGAGCCCCACACTACAGCTCAAAAGCAGCACGAATGATCTATTGCAGAACTGCTGTATTTGAGGACCAAGTCTGAGCCAGGTGTTTCCATACACTGGTTCGTAGAGAAATGGGGTGTAAATTAACAGCAGCAGTAACACTTGGGCTTAGCTCATCGGTGCCTAAAGTCCTACGGGTCTCAGACATCTGATCACATGTGGATCTCTGGGACAGTCAGTGGAAATGTCTCCAGAATTTATGAGGATCAGGTTTTCTGTGGTGAGAAGCAGAGGAGAGTCAACCTGCCAAAGTTTATCATCAGCCTCTTAAGGCCCACAACGCCGTTGCTAATGCTGCTAAGTCTGTGAAACCGAGTATTCGAGACACAATCCATTTAACATGTCATATCAAATAATACTGGGATATTTCAGTCTGATTTGGTTTGTTAAACTGATGACAAACTTCATCACAGTTGATACAACTGCTGGACAGGTCTTTAAAAAAAGGGCGTCTGCAAGCTCTATCCACTTTTTACAACCTTATTTAGGCCAATTAGAAATTACAAAAAGAGCAACAGATCTTTAAAAAAGTCAACTGAGAAAAAACTCCTCAGTGATGCATCGAAGGCAGAGCCAAATTCAACGTATACATACTGTGTCAACCACCAAATCAAAGATCCTGAATTTACATAATTTCAGGAATTCTAAGACCTTTCCAGGACCTGCAGACACCCTGGTGAAAAATGAAAGGTATAATTAGTGTCTGTGTCCAGATAGACATCTTGCCAAGTACTGTAGGACTACTACTTCCACTTGACGACACCAAATAGCTGCGTATACAAAATATCTATGAACACTGTCAATAAAACGAACTCACGACAGTAAGGATACATTTTACACCAAATACTGTCTTTACATATACATTCTTATCAGTGGATGAGTGCAAAACTGCTGCGTAAACACAACGATTCTATCACACAAGCTGTCATGAGTCGTACTATATGCGTTCAAGGCGTTGTAAGTCACTTGGGATGAAAGCAGATACAACAGAGAGTCTCCACCCATTTCTGCATGAATGAGCTCAAGCCTGAAGGACGAGACACAAGTCACATCTTAAAACGCGGTGAGCTACAGGCTAACTCAGGTGTGTGTGGTGTCATGTACATGGCTTGTCATTGTATGTCTGCCGATATAGTGGAGGGTAAATATGATAAATAAATATTTGAATCCTGCTGTGTCCCCATATCCACAGTTTAAAGATGGAATCGGAGTTTACTGAATATACTGTATGTTGTTCAATTTAAGGACAGCTCCATGTTATTACATATTTTTCTTACTGTCAACCAACCCTATGACAAAAACTAAGCCAACATACACACTTCAATGTTTCCTAAAGACAGTAAATGTTTTAAAACCCCTCACCACAATATAGTTTCATTTGGAAGATGCTCACTGTAGTTTCTATCAAACAGGAGGAAATCATGCATTTTTGGTGACTTTTCAGTGGCATATGAATCCACATTTGTTCTCTAGTGAGTATTTGTGGCTGCAGGACTGTGTGTAGGAATTTGTGTAACAGAACTGACACAGTAATTACTTGGTGGCTGGGTCAGACAGCTTGGCAGTAGTCTGAATGTACAGTATCTATGCTAGGCTAACAGTTTCCCCCTGCTCCCAGTCTTTGTGCTAAGCTAGGCTAACACATTCCCCTTTCTCAACTCAAATCAACCTGAAGGTAAGGAACGTCATGCTCAGCCATTGTAAGAGCAGAACATGGATGTGGGGTGTGTTCAGCCAAAGGCCACACGAGTACACAGAAAACAGCAGGTCTGTACACCCAAACCTACAAAAAGTCTTCTTTTATTTATTTATTTTTTTATCATGCACATAGGACTGCTGCACACTGGAGAAGGCATAAATGAAACATCTGCACCTTTTCTCTCCTTGTGATGTCACGTGCACAGTAAAAAACATTTTTAAAAGAAGTCTTTTTGCAGAGCTGGACGTGCAGACCTGCTATTTCAGTGCACTTAACATGGAAAACAAGCATACAGTCCTTCCTGGACATTTTGAACTATATTCTATAAAACAAAAACTTGTGTATATCTCGGTTTACCCTCCACTGTAACTCTGGTGATTGGCTACAAAGTACCATGACTGCCAGGCAAAAGAAATTATTCAAACATACAGTTTTCTCTATATTCATCTACCAGACACCAGCTGAACTGGTCCTAACGTTGCAAAACCCAACTGTCTTGTATCTCAAGCCTGTTCAAACAAAAGCCAAAAAATGTATGAGAGCCAGGTCTGGTGTCATGAAACTCCTGCCTGTGCTTTACAAACCAGATCAGAGCTGCGAGGGCGGTACGTAACATCGTCATTACAAAATAATCTTCCTCTATAGATCAGATTAATAATCACTACTATACAGTATGTACAGATAACAAGTAGGGCTATGTTTTTAAAATCGACCTAAGATGACTAAATTCATCTTTGCTGTGCTCATGAGACAATATGGCTCGTTCATGGGATGGAGAATTTTGTTGATGGTTTTTAAATATTTTGTGAAAAAGGCAGAGACACAATTAAAACTAATCTAATAATCGTTCTATCAAGTGTCTGACTGGCCAGATAAAGCACTTCTCACAGGCTGATGCACCAAATCTGAATCAAAAACATGCTGTTTGAGTCACTACAAGTTGTAACAGAGTAAAAGTGTCTGTGTGACCATCTAAGAGGAAGCTGGTAACCCTGCTTTACTGTTCGACTTTCATACCTGCTCTTATTTTCACACTGTACATTTTAAACTTTAACATAACCAGAGGAAAGGCCTTTAAGATGAGGACCAACCGGTTTGCTGGCCACA